TGCAAGTAGTGAGATACAAAAGCCTCCCACTGCACAGCTTCTGCGAAAATGCTCACTTTGGAGCCTGTGCATAGGTTCGTTCTTTCATATTCTCCCTTCTTGCCCAATACAAAAATTCACCTATTACATCTCGTACACAGAGCTCTGTTTCGGGAAGAATGTCAGTAGCACAGGTGTGATATTTGACAAACTCACTGTGGGCTGCTGGGGAGGATCAAGTGAAGGATTAGTAGTGGTTTTGTTTTGGTTTTTTTTTTCTTGGGATGGTCAGCAAGTGTCAGGGTACGACTGCTGCTACAGTTAACAGTTCAGCTCGTGCCTGCATAGGGAACGGCAGGTGGACGTGCACTTCTCACTTCTAACCCAATGTTGCTCTTTACAGATGTTCCGGAGTATTTTGTATTTATACAAAAAACAGCTTCTCCTTTTCTTATTTTTCACTGGACAGATGGTTTTGTTACGTAGGTCGTCTTTGTGAGAAACAGCAGTTGCTAGTAAAAGACAAATGGTGTCTTTAAAGCAACACAATTTACCGTAGAGAATGGATGTGCTGTCTGCTACAAACAGCAAAATAAACCCTTTGTCCATTAGGAATTAAACCACCTTTTGCGATATAATTTCTTGAAAGCAGAAGTACCCCAATAGCTGACCTGTTCAGACAGAGCAAAAGTGAACTACATGGATGATAATCTTTCTATTTAATTTTTATGAAGTTTTATCTCCAGTTGTTTTCACTAATTGAATTCAATTACTTTTTTTGTAAAGATATACTATAAATTTATTTCTTCATTTATGGCATAAATATGTGGAAAAGTATGTGAGTTGCTACAAATATCAATGTAAATGATATTGTTTGATATTTATTTTCTCAGATCTAAAGATACAACAATTGCTAAGATTTTCAGCAACTAATTCCTATTGAAATCCATAGAAGTTAGGCACTTCATACCACTGAAAATTTGACCCATGAGTACTTACTACTGTGCAGATGTCATACTGAGGGCCAGAGTACAAAAGCTAGTCATTCACTTTAACCCTTGGAAGAATACTTAGTAGTGATTCTCAACAGTAGAAAGAAGCTTGGAAGGAATAAGGCATATAACTCGCTTCGTAGTTACTTTATTTCACTTACTTTCCGACTTCAGAAATACCAGTTAAAACATTTCATTAAAATGCTCCAGACAATAATTATATCCTGTCAGAAGCACTGCTATGCTTAAACATAAGAAGCAATCATCAATTAAAGCTTGGAAGCTGATAGAAAAATAGGGTCTGTCTCAAAAATAGGGTCTGTCTCTCTTCTCACAGACGTAAAAGATCTATTTGCTACTGTTCTACCTGGATTGACTTGTCTGCATTAAGCACAGCGGTATTTAGGCTGCCAGTTCCTGGAGTGGAGGCTCACACTGTCTGCTAGAAGGGGCTGACAAACAGCTCTGCAGAATAAAAAAAGAAGGAACCTAAGGGTCTGGTGGGGAACAATGCACTTCGTAGTCAGTTTGCTCTCACACTTGCTCTTCCCAGAAATCTGCCCTGCAGAGGACAAACAGCAGCAGATGGGAATGACTGACCAGGTACACGGAGGACTCAGTGAGAAGAGTAGGGAACAACATACAAATGGACTGTTACGTTACGTTTAGTTGGCAAAAATGGTGACCATCCTTCTGTTTCCTAAGAGTTAACTTACTGATGTTTTTAGAAAATAATTCCTTACCTTGCTAAAAGAAATTAAGTAAATTTTACACTTTTATATCCACAAAACCCAACTGATGGCATGTTCAGGTTTGACTCAAAGCAGAACTGGTTTTAAAATAATATAGTTGACAAGTTAGCAAATGGAAAGGGCAAACAGCTTGAGCCGTGGAGCAATGGTAGCCTGCAAAAAGAGATGCCTGATATGGAAAGGGCTGTGGGAATAGGCAGGATGTGGGACTCGGGGTGTCTCCTAGTTCTGAAAGGGAAGAAAGCATCAGGACACATCAGTTCTGTTTGCAGAGATGGTGGGGAAAGGAGGCAAGGGAACATTAGGGTGAGTTGTAAGAGAATGGGGGAATAACCATGAAGTGGGATGGCTAAATGCAGAATTAATCCCATTAAAATTAAAAATTTGCTTCATAAATACCAAGCTCAAATCTCAGCCAGACACTAAAAACTGATCAAGAAATTACTAAAATATGTGTAAAGGAATCCAAACCTTGGCAAGAATTGGAAGATGTGGAGAAGCAGAGCTCTCCATAAGCAGAGTTGCTTCACTGGGCTGGCTTTAACCGATGACATTCAATCATGCCAATTCTTTCCTAACAAAAGATTTTTTTTTTAAGTAGTACTTGCAAAGAGAGGGGAGCAATAACATGGTAAATGTTTCCGTGTGAGTCTAGCTGCTACCCTAAGCCAGTACTGCACTTACGTAGACCTGTGCCTTCTCAAAATCCAAGCACCAGTTTCAAAGCCAGCTATTGGAGAGACTTCTGCACTCCCACATTACTGTCTTTTACTATCGCACAACTGACTGGCACAAAAGTAGTACTTGCAGAGAGAGGGGAGCAATAACATGGAAAATGTTTCCGTGTGAGTCTAGCTGCTACCCTAAGCCAGTACTGCACTTACGTAGACCTGTGCCTTCTCAAAATCCAAGCACCAGTTTCAAAGCCAGCTATTGGAGAGACTTCTGCACTCCCACATTACTGTCTTTTACTATCGCACAACTGACTGGCACAACCTACTCAAACCTTACCTTCAGTGACTGAACTGTTTGGCTAGCCTGTTGTTTACTTTCCTGTACAGACTGCCTAATTTTGCATTGTGATAAGGACTGGAAAGGGGAGGTGTCTGTAATCACACTGGGTGGCTCCTTCTGTGTTTGTTTTCACAAGGCAGCTTGCAGGCAGAACTCTGACGATAACCTCTGCGTCTGGCATATCTACTGATGCTGCTTGTCGGACCGGCCCAGATCTGCTCTTCTCAAGTACTCCAGTCTCTGAATAGTGGGATTTTCAAATACTTACATTGCACCCCACGCCAACAAGCCACAATCTCACCCCATCAATTTATGATTTTTTGGTGCAAGTGAAGGCAGAACTCAATCTTAATGCCTAATTGAAGCTAGCCGGGAGCAGATAGTATTTAGCTTTTTTCCCCCAAAGACACAATCTTAGTGCTATTACTTTTGCCGAATAGAAGAGCTATCCAAGTTTAAATTAGTGCTTCAAAAGAAAAATCGTAGGAAATTTAGGTTGGGAATGTGGGTGGAAAATATGTTCCTTGATTTGATTGGATTTAAGTGAACATTTTAAGTCCCCCCAACTTATTTCCCCTCAACCTCTCAATGAATTCTCTGAAGAAGTTGTGCCTCCTTTCAGTTGATGCAAATCTCCCAGTCAGCATCAACACTCAGGGATAAATTTTCCAGCGTCAGCGCAGAGGTCTTCGTATCGTATGTGAAAACCACTTCTTTTTCTTTCCCATCTGAACAGGACAAGAGAGTTTACTGCATGATTTAAGAAGAACCCTTCTGAAACATAGTTACACATGACTCCCTCCAGTTTTTAATTCAGACTGTCCCTGCCACTAGTGGAAAGGATTGATTAAAAAAGAAATAGTAGTCAAATCTGCCCAGTATACACATAAGAATGCAGCAGAATTG